AAAAAACAAAAATTTTCAAAACAGTCGAGTACTATTGAAGAAGATATATATTTTTTTATGGAAGGGTTGAAGAAGATATTGAAGCATGCATGCATGTATCATCAAATTATTCGCATAAAGAAATGTAATATCAAATTATGAGTGTTATCTTATATTAAAAGTATTTTTTAGCATGCATTCTCAGCATCAAGGGTGGAGAGTGCCCCATATTTTTAAAAATTTTCAAATGGCACCTTAGATTCTTGAAAAAATCAAATTGTTTTTCTAATATGTATTTTTGGTCTCAAGTCCGTATTAATTGTATCTTTTTACAAAATATTTTTAAGAAAAAGGTAAAAAAATATATTATTTTTATAACTAAAATGACTTAAATAATTTTATAAATTGAAAAATTAATAAATTTAAAATTAAGTTATTATATAAAAAGTACAATTAATGTGGTTTAACTTGTGCCATAAACATACCCAAAATCAAATGGCACCCTAGACTTTGATGTTATTTTTTTTTTCTTTGGTAAATTTAGTAGAATGAAAATTTTTTTCTCATTTATTTGATAATTAGTTTAAATAAATATATTTTGTTTCATTTAGTGAATTAATAATAAATATTATTATAAGATGTAAAGAATATCAATTACTCACAAGTAAACTAACTTTTTATTTATGAGAATATATGTATTTAATTACTTGACATGATTGTCATGGTGTTGTTTAGTTATTCAAGATCCGTGCTATATTTTTCCCTCAACTAAGAGTTATACTATATATTTAATTAGAATTTAATTAATCTATCAATTTGTTAAAATATCTTAATTTTTTGTCTGAAATATATTAAATTATTATATAATATTTCGTAACACTAATTTTGTTTGAAATTAGAATTCAAATACATGTAATAATATGAATTTTAAGAAATTTCTTTATATCTATGGTATATATAATTTGAAAATAGTACTTATTCATTTTATTTTTAAAAATTAAGAGAAATATTATTTCAAAATTATGTCGTTTTA